ACAATGTAATCTTTGCATCTAAAATGACTTAACTAAGCAAGTGACACTTAACAATTGTCATAAGCATGCATAAAATCTCATACAATAAACATTTAAAATAATGCTGCATCTCTTACTGTACCTAAGAGGTATTGATACGCGCAGATATCGGTCCACAGCGATTGCCAACAGAGACAGCACAGACGCTTGAGTCAGAACCAGCACCACACAGCTGAGTCCCAGACAAGCTTGAAAGGGCATCTCCATCCAGCCGTCCACTAGCACCGCCAGGGGCACTGCCACTGAGCCTACCAGGAAATCAGCCACGGCCAGAGACGCCACGAAACAGAAGGTGGGCTGACGGAGGACACGTTTCAAACACACAGCCCAGACCACAAGCACATTTCCCAGGCAGCAGGACACGGCGATGAGCAGCTCCAGAGATGTGTAGATCAGCCAGGCCATGAGGATCAACCCTGCAGCATACCCTCCACCAACAACAGCAAACAGAACAGAGTCTCCTCGAAATGGAGAAATGTGAAGCAGAGAGTGAACATCTGCTGTGTTCTCCTTCACACACACGCACACACACACCCTGATCTTCAGCATGCATCTCTGGGGGTCTCATTTCCACTCATAAAGGCTTCTAAATACATAATTTTATTCACGGTCACATCTGTATCTCATCAGCTAATTCCATTCGCAGGCAGATGACAATAGGGGTGTTACAATACATTCCAACTCGCCATCAAATTGGTGGAACATGTTTTGTTCATACTTGTTTTACCACTCGTGTATACTTAGAAGTTATCTAATGCTATAATCAGGGGCGCAACTACACATTTACTGAGGGGTATGCGGGTTCAAATTATGTGTGATCCCTCTTATTTTGGCAAACTAATAATTAAATTAATTAATTAATAATAAATGAAGACAAATTTTCAGATTAACCTTATAGCTTTTGACATTATGTATGATTTGACAGTTTATTTTGATAAAAATAAAAACAAATCTAAACAGTTACATCTACATGAACACTTTAGGCTGTGTGACTGCATGTTATTGTGTTAAATGATTTTGAATTAAACAATAACAATGTTATATTTGTATAAAATGCAAAATAATGTTTTTTAACAAAACATATTTATTTATTTTTATTATTTAAAACTTTTAATAAGGATGATTTTAAAAATAGTTTTGGCACAATGGCGCCCCCCCCCCCATGTGTGGCACCCCTATGCGCCGCATATACTGCATACCCCCTTTTTGCGCCACTGCACAATGCTAAAAAAAATAAAGGTTTTATTTCTGGTTTATTGGAGAACATCTGACAATTAAAGAACCTAAAAGCTGAAAAATGTTCTTTTAGGAACCCAAAATGGTTCTTGTCATCACTATGAAAGCCACCTTCTGGAATGTTTGTTTTAAGCGTCTAAGGCAGGGATGTCAAACTCAATTCCTGGAGGGTCGCAGCCCATGTAGAAAATGATCAAATTGGCCCAAATGACAAAGGAAAAATGTGGGCCACAATTGGCAAAATAGTGACAGTTATTTAAGAGTAATCTGGGTCTAAACCTAAAGTGGCTCACACGTGTAGGTGCTAATGCGGCCCAGTTATTTTAAAATATGTGGACCACTTTTGGCAAATATTCAGCAGAGTAAACTCTGGCTAATGCAGCCGTTAGCCTATAGTGGCCCAGATATGGAAAATGTAGCCATATAAGCGCTATATAAATAAACATGAATTGATTTGGATTGAATACTCTAGGTCAGAAGAACAAGAAGAAGATTAGGCACCAAATGCAATTTATTTACCTGTGAAACTTCACTTACTCCATCTGCTGGTCAGTGTTTAGAACTGCATCATGCTTTGTATCCCTGATAGCAGCAGGCCTTAAATTGACTGACTGGTTACCATGATAAATACAATGGGGAGCAGCTACATCTCTCATATAATAACTGATGAGGACATTCTACTTTATCTTAACTGAAACACCCTCAAAACAAAAAGTTTCCATTTTAGGTAAAAATAGTACTTCAACATGTTTGTGAATGTAATAATGGTTTCATACAACAGCCATGTAAACAGGAAGTTGGCTACTTGTAGTGCTGAAAATAAATTGCTGTAATTTAATATTTTAAGATTTAACAAATTAAACAACACGTGCAACAGCTTGTGTGGTTTCAATAGCAAGCCACTGACATACCATACACACAACATCTTGCCCATTCAACAATCATTAACTGTTCTGTTGTAGTGGCGGTTTTCCAGAGTACACATGCTTTGCATATGAGGACATATGTGCGTGAATATGTACATGGTGAGCTTGTGGCAAACTGCCATCAGATCGAGCACAGGCTTATGTCAGATATTTATTATCATATCATCAGCTCCTCGTGATGCGACTTATCGGTGTAAGAATTTAAAAGGCTGTAAACAACAACAACAACAAAAACAACAAAAAAAGAAAATAAAAATTCTAACTATGCATATACTGCCAGGTTTATTGCAGAATGAAAAATGCAGGAGAATAATATGAATGGTAAAACATTTAATGCAATATTGACAGCATTAAATTCCCCCCCCCCTACAAAAGTTTACTATTTTATTGTAAACAATTAAAAGGCAGAGTTGGATTTATAGGAGATTTTTGGCCAAAAAATAAATAAATAAATAAAATAAATAAATAAATAAAAAAACAAGCCTGATACCTTAGGTGCTGTTTCTTCATCAGTACATTAAAGAATAATTCAGCTGAAACTGTAGTCTCTGGTGTTAAATGAAAGTCGATAAAATGAAAGTCAATGGTTATGGCATTTTGAGCATGAAACAAGTTATATCAACCTTATTCTTCAATGTGGAAGTGTGCTCATTTTTGCAATTGTTTCAGAACTTTTGATTCAGTTTCCTATGGGAGATTTTAAGGGTAATCTGGGTCTAAACCTAAAGTGGCTCACACGTGTAGGTGCAAATGTGGCCCAGTTATCTTAAGACATATGTGGAACACTTTTGGCAAATATTTGGCACAGTAAGCTCTGACTATTGCGGCTGTGAGCCCTTATGTGGCCCATATGTTAAAACATATTGGGGCCACTTTTGGCAAATACTCTGGCTAATGCAGACGTTAGCCTATAGCAGCCCAGAGAAGATATGAAAAATGTGGCCCAGTAATCTTAAAACATATGTGGGCCACTTTTGGTGAATATTCGAGACAGTAAGCTAATGTGGCTAATGTGACTAATGTGTATTTGAGCCTATAGTGGCCCAGAGAAGATATGGCAAATGTGGCCCAGTTATCTTAAAACAAATGTGGGCCACTTTTGCCAAATATTTGGCACAGGTAGCTCTGGCTAATGTGGTTGTAAGCCTAAAGCGGCCCACAGGAGATATGGCAAATGTAACCCAGTTATCTTAAAACATATGTGGACCACATAGACTAAAGTCACCATCATGGAGAAAAGTATTTGGTTTATGGGCCCATAGCACTGAACCTCTTAATATAAATAAATATTAAGCTGTAACTTTGCTTGTTCATTACAGCAAACAAAATTATTTGAGGCTTACCCTTTGGTGAAATAATATAATTCACTGATGTTTACCAATGTTTAATCCATTATTAGAAGTAATAGGCCAGATCTGGGCCAGAATAAAAGCGAATTGTGGCCCAGAATAGGATCAGTTCTGATTCATTTGGTTTAATTCCGGCTAATATGTGGTATTGCTTTGGCTTATTTGTGGCCCAGATCTGACAAACTGTAGCGGACCGCCCAAGTGCCATCATTCCATTCAGTATGTGGTTTAAATGTAAGTGTCTAGTGTGGGCCGGATTTGAGCCACATGCAATTTGCTAGCTCTGTCCCCTAAATAACAGAACTAGATAGTCTGGTTCAAAAGTGTAAATTTGCTTTTGACACCCATGTGTCACCGACCTCAAGTCTTGGACAGTAAAGCCTGTTTTATACTTTTGCGTCAAGTGATAGCTGTACTCCTTTGCACAGTGATAAGCCTTATATAGAACTGGAACATTTCCTTGGAGTTTTGGAGCTTAAAACATCCAAACACAGCTACAGCCTCTCATGTTACAGCAAAATAAAACACGGCCAATCACATGTTATGTGTTTGTATAGGTAGGACTCAATAATATGATTTAACCCTTTCTGCACATCTAGGCTAATGAGAGTTGACGAAGCATTATTTTCTCGGATGGGATTTATTGGTGGGGACAATTTGACAATTGGTGGATATAAGTGGCCATATGTCCCCTGTCTCCAGTAGCCTGGTCTGGTTGACTCATATTTAGAAATACTGAATAAAAAATTAACATTGATTGTACAGGGTAATGTATTAGATTCAACAACTTTATGGCTGCTGATTTCCTTGTTCATTCTCCAAAACCAAGCAAACAACTGTGAGGTAAAATGAATTTATTCCAGAATACCAAGTATTAACATTTTAATGCCATTAAAAAAGTCAAATTAGCACAAAAATAGCGCATTTTATATAAAAAAAGAGCAACAACAAACGGATTCATGACTACATATAACGTAGTGTAATGGTCAACAATCCTCAGATTAACATATTTCAAAGATCACCTTCAACAATTCCATGTTATTGTAAATAAAAAAGATCAACTTAGCCTTAATTAAGCCATGTAGAATTAGAAAATCAGTGTTGTTTTACACCCACATTGCATTATGAACATTAAAAAGGCAAAACCACCTCTGTAAAATACGCAGTATTTGTTTACACTTTCCCACCTTGAGAAAACTAAACAAAACAAAAACAAAAAAAAACAACCCAAGCTCATTCTGAAAACGCAGCCCCGCGGACGTTTCTGAAGACCGTGATTTACATGGTTGGAGGTGCGTATGGCTGCATTTCATTTTTTTAAGCGAACACTATGGGGTGGTGTGATGCCGCTTCTCTTCGTGCTCGCCGGCTGATAGCTCACCTCCATGTGGAGGGCTTTCCCACCGCAACCAGTTTGTCCGGTTAGCTCGTTGTATACATCAGCGGAGCGGGGAGCCAAAGGCGATGACCGGGTTCGAGTCCGGGGAAGATCGGTTCCAGAAATCAGGTAAGACAAAAACAGAATCCAAAAAACAAAGTGAACGAGTTCGTAACAGTGCAAGAACATGATGAAATACGAAAATGCGGTCAAAATCAGACAAGGGCTTTTCTTTTTCTGGATGGCTTTTGTAAATCGTTGCTTGGGATTAGGGAGGGAAGCGAGCGGGCCGGCCGTGGGTCCATCGGTAAAACTGGTTGGGTTAAGGGAAGGAAGAGGAGAGTGGGTCGGTTGATTGGCCGTTGCCCAGTCAATCATTTGGTCAGTCGGACATACAGTCGCTCGACAGCAGCCTCCGGGGGCTTTACGCGAGAACAGTGCGGGTGCAAATGGCGCTCACAAGAGGCGTTCGAGACACGAAAAAGCATGCACAGCGGCCTCTCGCGGATTTGTATGCGTAACTCCCAGGACATATTTCGCAGTCTCCAATAACGTCCACGGGGCTACGTTTCCTGAATGAGCCTGGGTTGCAAAAAAAAAACAAAAAACATTGGTGGACAGATCACATTAACTACCCATGAACCTCTGCGAGTTGTTCTGCAGGCCTCTCAGTGTTCTCTCTGTGAACTGATAGGTGAGTTTGCGTTTTACTTTGCAGATCTCTCCTGTTCGGGAATAGTTTCGCAGGGCACGTGCCATCTTCTGGTAGGTCATGGTCTTGCGGTTACCCTTTCGCCTGCCCCACATCTCTGCCAGCTTCTCCTTGTTCTGCGACGAGAACTGGAACGTCCCGTTGTTGGACTGAACCCACCAAATGCAGCTCCGCATGTCTGGTGTCTGCAGCATCTCATACAAGAACTGGAACAGTCGCTCCTTCCTTTTACCTGAGAAATAATGTAGTTGCTTTTAGTGAATTTCAAAGAGAAAAAATGCAACATTTACATGCATCCATCTACCAAATCAGTAAAACACCAGTGCACAATACGTTGTGTTACCAATGATTATTATGCCGCGTTTATCTCTAAATAAAAATGAACCTCTCGGTTTTGCGTTTAAATAATTTATGTGCGTTTGATATCTCCCCGAATTGATTGTGTGTGCCTGTAAGTCTTTGAGCTGAGATGAGGAAACTCCTCCCCGCGAGTAACTATCTAATCACTATGCTCTAAAGTTAGGGGGAGCTTGACAATCATATCACACTTTAACATTGCGAGCGGCGGTGAAGTGAGGCTGAGGCATCAGTACAAGGAAGCAGCGGCGAAGTGAGGCAACAGTACGAGAAAGCACCGGTGTCTTTCAAATCTGCGTTGTAAGGACATTTCGGTTTTGCCGGTAAGTATAATGGCAATAAAAGAAAAAACAGTGAAAAGTAAGTACTGGTCAAATGGCTTCAAAATACTTGATAAAACTTGATAAAAGCTTTCATAAGCTTTATATTTTTGGGCCACCAGAGTGCTGTTGTCACTGAATGCATATTCTGATGAAGATGGTTTCATGCAAACGTACTCTAAAAAAACTATTCTAAATTATATATAATATGTACAAAATCATACAACTCATTCAAATGCATCAGTCTCTAAAACTGGGATTAAAATAAGGCATTCGCTGTGTTTTACCTGTGAGTGGCGCTAGTGTCATCGAGTCGTACGCGATCTGTCCTGTCCTGTCTGTGGTTGGAGAAGGAGGAAACTCCTGACACCCAGAGCTGGTGGAGAGCGAATCTGAATCACTGCAGTGGCTTCTGTCATACTGAAAGCGTCCCTGATGGTAAATAATTACATCCATGCTCAGTTGAAACGTCATGCATTCCTGTTGTTTATATTACTGCAATGTTGTCATCTTGTTAAACCTACCCACTCGTTGTGACTGGACTGGCAGAGCCACGTCTGCTGCTGCTGAGTCTGTTGTTTGCGAGTCTCATCTGTTCCTGAGACTTCACCGTAATTCCATTCATATGCATAACGACCAGACCAGCTGTTCTCTGTGGAAACAAATCACTCATTGTTATCGCATATGCTACTCGCTGCAACGTACAATGTTATAAGGCTAAAAGACATTGTGGCTCCTATCTCAACTTAACTTGCAACTGCAAGTTTAATAATAACAACATTAGTAATTCAGCTTAAAGTGTAAATAAATACTGCTTTCTGGCCACTTTTAAAGAGTTATCACTTGTTTGGCCATTGTTTAGAAATGTGAGATAAAAATGCCATTTACATTTCTTAACTTTATTCCATGAAAATAATAAGATTCTATAGAAAAGAGTTCATTTTTCCCCTTCATAATTTTAAACCTCTAAGGCAGGGTAAGCCTTGCGTTCAAAATCAAAATCCTTTTAATTGGACGATAATGACATAATCATTCTGTTATAATGACAGCTGTTTGTGTAGCTTCTCGATGAACTACGGTTCAGTGTTGTAAATGCTGCACTCAAAAATTTGTTCTTCATGAGTGTTGGGAGTTTTCACATGAGAGTGCCCTCTGGTTTTTGGAGGAGAGTTACTGCTCAAACGTGTGCTTCCCTGACCAGATACGCATGACAATCCTCAATCACATTTGAGATTTCATTTGGATTACTCTCCAAGCCCTGGGGCAGGATAATCTATTTTATTGACTACAAACAGACAAAAAAAAAAAAAAAAAAAAAAAAAGAAATCAGATTTTTTTTCATCAATCTTTCAAGTTAAAACCTTAGCATTGTGACTTTGCAGTTCTGATAACAGCAATTGCGAGATGTAAACAATTGCATCAAATAAAGTCAGAACAGATGCCGCCCTCTCTATTCTGTCGCTCTTGGTGGCCACTTGGGTCACCTCTATGGGCGCGCCGGCTCTGGTCACCGTGGATATTAACAGCAGATTCAGTGAGCTTACATCTGCGCATTTCTGATAGTAAAATAATGCGTTAATCGTAAACGTTTTTAAATGAATATTATTTTGTCTTTAGACATTTTCTTCATTTTCAAATAGAAACAGAAAGTAAAAAAAAAGACATTTTAGCTTTTACAGAAAACAAAAAGGGTGCTACTTCAGTCTAAATGGCAGCTATGTTATGTTTACTTGGCCCTTTCCTTCACACTGTGCAAAAACAGAATAGCATCTACTTCGGGCGATTCCGCCTCGCCTGCAGTCATGAAAATAAGCGATCTTGTTTCTCTCAGAATGATAGCAGATTTTCCTCTGATGACTCCTCTAACTGAAACTTTGAACAGTAAGCTACTCTTGCACTTCATCCATTATTTTAGGCATCTCATCTTCCCATTCTGCAAAGCCCACTCTGCTGTTTTTGCTGGTCCACTGTCATGTGCGACCACATCCACCCGCAACCCACCCACAATTAATAATAATGTATTTTTTTATTACCCGACCTGCCCGATCCGCGGATTACCCACAGCGTCCGCGGATATAACCGCCATCCGCACATCACTATTGTAAGGCCTATGAGGTCACAACTGAGATAACAATAATGCCACATTTCTGAGAAGAAAAAGAAAGACAAACAAATTTGAATTGTGATGCTGCGTTCACACAAGAAGGGGAAGAACCGTCAAGCACGAGTGTTTTACATGTTAAGTCAATACAAGGATGCGAATTGACATCCTGCAGTGCAAATGACGCAATTTGACGCAGTTTAAGCATTTTTGCGTGATTGACATGCTTAATGCGCATATCACATATTTCGCTCAAATTCGAAAATTAGTGGACATTTGCGCCGCGTTAACCAATCAGGAGCTTGCTCTTGTGGGGACTTGATTATGACGTAGTGCCTGTTGTTGGTGTCCTGGGTAAAATCCTGCTGCCAACACCGACAAATGTTCATCAAACTTGGCTCAGCTCAGTCAGAAGCTTCCATATATAGTTTCTAGAGGAGTGAATAAACTCACAGAGCTGGGTGCCCCTCTGAATGGATTTAGTGGACTTAGCTCTAAAAAAATCAACGCTGTTTTTCAGTCCTCCTAAAGCACATAAACACAGCTATTCTCTCAATAAAATCCATGTTAGTGTAACGGAGGCCAGCTAGTGAGTGCTGTGCAGGTAAACCTCACTCCTCTGACCTCTAAATGTGCTCTAGCGACAGATGCTAGAGGCCATGGTCTTTAGCAGGGGTCACCAACCCTGTTCCTGGAGAGCCACCTTCCTGCAGATTTTAGTTGCAGCCCTGACCAAACACACCTGCTTGTAATTATCAAGTGTTGCTTTAGGTACTATTAATTGGTTCAGGTGTGTTTGATCAGGGTTGGGACTGAATTCTGCAGGAACGTAGCGGTTTGATACCAGATCGGAGTGGGTTGGGTGGCGTAGGACTGGCAGGGTTACATTAGCAACGAAGCAAGGGTCACCGGGCAAACAGAAGTGAGAGTTCAGAATTGAGAGAAATAAACTCCCAGGTATAAACTCAGAACATGATTTACCACCAACTTTCCACCGTCTTCACAATTTCACCACTCTAACCTAAATGTCTACGACTGGTGTGATGGAATTCACGTCTTGATATACAAATAAAGAAGCTTTGTCAGAGAGGAAATCTCTGACCTTATAAAGTAAAAACTGGGCCTCCATTAATCTGAAAAAAGCAGAAGCGAGCCTTCCCCTCACAGGTCTGGTGGTGTATTGTTTTTTGCTAATTACCCTCACCTGCCAGACTGCACTCCTCATGGTTCCTCCGCTGGACACAGGGTGTTGGCATGACCTCCAGCAAGTGTTCCTGTAGATACTCCTCAATCACGTCCAGATCCAGGGCCCCTGTTGACGGCTCTCGAGGGCACATGTCATGGAAGTACTGAATCTGTAAATTAAAGAACGTTAGCTTACAGTGAGTGTGATGCATAATACTGTACACAATGTGTCATCAGCAGGAGAAAAATAAAACATTATCCTTTAACTTTTTATATACAAATTTTAAGACCACTATTAATAATTTCTCAGAATTGACAGGTTATATTCATGTTTAAGTAAAATGTAATTTGTGTCTCGTTCTGCACTACAAATGTCACTCTACTGATTAAATGTCTTATATATAGTGTTTACACTAAAATGATTGTGGATATCCTGATTAATTATTAAATATACAGTATATACAGTGTTGGGGAGGATTCGTTTTGAAAGTAACGCATCACAATATTGAGTTAAAAAGTAACTTAATTACTTTTTATGGTAAGTAATGTGTTACATTACTATTGAGTTACTTTTGCATTACTTTTTTACCTGACTGAGGCTTGATCTCTGTCAGAACTTGTCTTTTTCTTTATTTTTTCAATAAAGGACTTCTGCAGTTAACAATGCACTGTATAACCTACAGCTACATTTACCTTTAAAAAAACAAGATGAAAAAAATGTTTTATGATATTATTTAAGAACTTTCTGACCCCAAAGCTTTACATGCCATATAAAAAGATTAATAAACATTTAAAGCAATGTGTTTGCTACGTTTGTACTATTTTTCTTAAGTAAAATCACTGTCCATCAATACAACAAAGGCCTTTTCCTTTTTTTCCATGCAAAATAATGAACACAATCTGTCATTGAATGCATGAATTATCATGACTACTACACTTATATGTGGAATTATAAGGTTCTCTTTGCATTCTGAATGATTTTGAGATATTGAGCTTCAACGTTTTTGGATTCCATACAGCAAACAGTATGTGTAACGTGTTTTTTTTAAATAAAAAGTCTTAAAATGTAAACAACCTATAAAAAACATCCCATAATGTAAATAGGTTGTCACAGATAGAACCTTATAATTCTAAAGTGATGAGATTATATATATATATATATATATATATATATATATATATATATATATATATATATATATATATATATATACTTTATATATATATAGCTTACAAAAATCTTAAAAACTATAACTTAAAAATTTCAGTTATAGTTTATTTATTATTATAGTTTATTTAGTTACTTATTTTTGTATTATTATTATTTTTTATTGTTTAATTTGTGATTTGTTTAAAAGTTCCTATTACCAAATTTGCTATTTGACGATACAGTTTTACCTCATAAGAAAACATGCAATATTTATGGAATTAAAATACAGCACTTGTTCATTTCTAAATGGTCTTGACTCAATTTTGTTTGAAAAATCATTATAAAATGTAAAGTGAGATCAATGTTGGATCCTGAGTCGAGAGAATCGTTCCATTTCAACCTGAGTTATGAAATTATTCTGATTGTTGATCACATCTAATGAAAGCATTTGTTAAGTTGACCAATTGACATTCTTAAAAATAAAAAAAATAATAATAATAAAAAATTGACATTTGAATAGGTAAATGGATATATATATATATATATATATATATATATATATATATATATATATATATATATATATATATATATATATATATATATGACATTTGAAATAATGTTATCAGTTCTTTTCACATTTTTGATTCAAATAAATCCAGTACATCCAAGGAAACAAGTGGTATTTTATTTAATTAAACAATTATTATTATTATTATTATTATTATTATTTATTTATTTATTTATTTATTTATTTATTTATTTTATTTGTATTTTTTGCATGACTGAATACAGTACAGTACTGAACAAATGTTGCAAAACACTGTTTGATTTGTGCATTCAAAAGAATTCTCAGTAAACTTAGTGTTTTACATGCACCAGGAGGCACGTGACGTAACATGCATTTGCATTAAGAGTCTGTGCTAACCTATTAGTAGTAATATTATACATCTGTTTTGCCTGCATTGCATATACAAACAAGCAAATATACATGTAGGACAAAGGCGAGTCATCCCATGTTGCAGTGTGTATTAAATAAAACTTACAAAAGGGGTTTTATATACATTTGATAAATATCCAATTATATTATTAATATTGTTTATGTCACGTCTTTCTTTATTGTTATAAACTAAAGCATCAATTGAATACAAACAAGCAAATATACATGTAGGACAAAGGCGAGTCATCCAATGTTGCAGTGTGTATTAAATAAAACTTACAAAAGGGATTTTATATACATTTGATAAATATCCAATTATATTATTAATATTGTTTATGTCACGTCTTTCTTTATTGTTAAAAACTAAAGCATCAATTGAATACAAACAAGCAAATATGCATGTAGGACAAAGGCGAGTTGTCCCATGTTGCAGTGTGCATTAAATAAAACTAACAAAAGGGATTTTATATACATTTGATAAAGATCCAATTATATTTTTATTATTGTTTATGTCACGTCTTTCTTTATTATTTAAAACTAACTATTATTGAACTAATGAGTTCAAATGCATTCCCATATTACAGTATACTTTGCTCGCATTTGTGAGTTGATAAAAAAAAGTGAATTGATCTATGAATGAAGCAGATCATATCAAAATACCAACATAATGAAAGATATCATATTTAGTATAAAAGATAAAACATTTGTTTTAAATCCCATCTCAAGCCCATACTTTTCCCTTGACATTTTAAACTTGATATTTGTTTAAATAGTGTTCATGTATGTCTTGCATATCTGTTTTTTAAAGTATCTTTTATTAGTCAAGTGTTGTTTTGTGAAGACATTTTACTGTATAGCAGTTCGGTTTGCTGTTTGATGGTTGTTAAGTGGTAATAAAAACCAAAAAGCTTATAAAAACCAAAGTTTTTTAAGAACAAAATTGCTTTATAAATACAGTTTGAATGAATGAATGAATGATATAACACTAAATAGAATACAATTAAAATTGTTTCACATAACTTGTTGAAGCATCAACAAATACCATATTACATTATGATGATGCATCCAATGAGACGTCTTATTTACACCCCTATCTGATAGATCAAGTGTGTGGTTAATAAATGCATATTTAATTCTGTAATTATTACTTTAAAATATATATCTGCACATTTTTATGTATATATTACCACTTTTGGAAGAAGCACTATAAATAAGATCTGTAGGACTGTAAAAAGCTTCATTTTTTCTTTGTTTTTAACAACAATTGAAACGTTTAGATGCTAAATTTTCTTATACAATTAACATTATTTTTTCGACTCCTGTTTGTAGGCTGAGTAATTTAACTTTTATAGTGACGAATAAGTTATTTACATGGTCCTTAAAGTGAAATAACTGATTATAAAATAGGAGGCGGTCATTTTAGCACAACATTTTGGATGTCATTTAAAGGTTTTAGCATCTGAACTCTTTAACTATCCCTTCAGTCAAGCAAACAATTAAGCACAAATGATACTCACATTTTCAAGGTTTGCCAACATCTAAAAATAAAAAGTATAATAAAAGACATGTTAAAATGAGTCAAAGACTGGAATGCTGTTAGAATGCAGTTTGATCAGTCAAAAACATTTCATAACTCATGCGATGACAGACAAAACAGCTCAAATACAAACAATCTCCAGTACATCAGCACAGATTCCTGCCAACACTTTTGAATGATAATCTAGACTTGTGAGTTTACCTCAAGGTAGTTCCAGTGTGCCTGAGAAGATGTTAATGAATCGCAAAAGTTGCTGAACAAGAGCTTCTAACAGGTGGAGCGGAGCATCACCTGTAATGTGCACCTGTTGTCAAATCCATAGCTTTTATATCCACCAGACTCTCTCTCTCTCTCTCACTCTCTCTTTCTCTCTCTCTCTCTCTCTCACACACACACACACACACACACACACACACACACACACACACACACACACACTTTCTCTCTCTCTTTCTCTGTCTGTTTAACCCGTCTTTTAATGCAAATCTCTAATAATCAAGCACTCATCTGGGTTTAACGGTACGATCACGTTTCATGTCTAAGCCTTCGGGCATTTGGTCTACGTTGTTATTTTGTATCCAACAAACAAAAGAAAAAAAAAAGTGGGATTTTACTTGTAACTGTCAGAGTGATTATTGTGGTAATGAGTGTATTAAACAGAGATAGATGAACACATTCTCTCTAACCTCGGTGTAATACTGCTGTTGACATGTTTATGGTGTTGTTTGGGAAGAATGTTTATCTAGCGTAAATAGAAAACTGTAAAAACCCACTTTACATTAAATGTCAACTGAATTAGTTTGCTCTTGTGTGTGAGTTGGGATGTTCCTGTTCTGTGGCCAATGATTCACATTTAGAACAACAGACTGAGATGAAGCTTTCGATGGGTTACTATATCAACAAGGCTGTACTTTTTTTTTTTTGCTATATAAATGTATTAAAAACATTTTATACCCCCCCTCCCCCCATTTTCTGTTTACCGGAGAGATTTTTTCAACACATTTCTGAACATAATAGGTTGAATAACTCATTTCTAATCACTGATTTATTTTATCTTTGCCATGATGACAGTAAATAATATTTTACAAGATATTTTTTAAGACACTTCTATACAGCTTAAAGTGACATTTTAAGGCTTAACTAGGTTAATTTGGTTAACTGGGCAGGTTAGGGTAATTATGCAAGTTATTGTATAATGATGGTTTAATCTGTAGACTATCTAAAAAAATATATAGCTGAAAGGGGCTAATAATTTTGACTTTAAAATGGTTTTTAAAAAAATTCAACTGCTTTTATTCTAGCCAAAATAAAACAAATAAGACTTTCTCCAGAAGAAAAAATATTATCAGACATACTCTGAAAATTTAATTGCTCTGTTAAACATAAATTGGGAAATATTTAAAAAAGAAAAAAATAATCAAATGGGGGCTAATAATTCTGACTTCAACTGTATAATCCAGGCTAATTCTGAAAACGTACCCCAATATAAATTTCTGGAGTGCGCCAAATACGTCCAAAGTGGTACGTTTGTTTGTTTTCTTGAATCCACCAGAGGCTGCTGTGTGCGCTTTTTCAGATCTCACATTTCTTTTGAAAGTGCCATTCGTACCTGCTCTTCTCACATAAGTCCACCAGAGGCCACTGTCGTCAATTGACTGACTGAGTGATCGAATGAACACTCTTCTCATTCCTTAAACCAAACCAATATTGGCTGTTTCTCAATATGCGTTCTTCTGTTTGTTTGCTGAAATTCATACTGAAATCTGTTTTATTTATTTGTGCAACATATAATTATAATTTTTATTGCATAGTAAATATTTTACAAAGAGGAAACACAATAAATCGTTGCATGAATGCTGTAATGTTTAATAAATTTTCCATTTAAAATGTATGAAGGTCACGTGACCCTCAGGAAGAATGCAGCATCTCATTTCTCACAGGACGCGATCCGTTCTCTGCGTTCTTGGAATTGAGAAACAGCCAGTGTTTTCAAAAGCATCAGCTGACCACCCACCCACTTTAACAGTGGTTTAAAGAGCAGTCTAGAAAACTAAAAACCCCAAAAGCCTGATTTTTACCACATTTTCAGATTTTACCACACCCTTACCCTGTTATTAATTAATTTAATTCATTTTCTTGTCGGCTTAGTCCCTTTTTTAATCCGGGGTCGCCACAGCGGAATGAACCGCCAACTTATCTAGCAAGTTTTTACTTCCAGCCACAACCCATCTCTGGGAAACATCCACACACACATTCACACACACACTCATACACTACGGACAATTTAGCCTACCCAATTCACCTGTACCGCATGTCTTTAAACTGTGGGGGAAACCGGAGCACCTGGAGGAAACCCACGCGAAGGCAGGGAGAACATGCAAACTCCACACAGAAACACAAACTGAGCCGAGGTTCGAACCAACGACTCAGCAACCTTCTTGCTGTGAGGCGACAGCACTACCTACTGCGCCACTGCCTATGTTAGACCGCATAACACCGCCCTGTTATGTACTTGTTTATTTAATTTATTATAATTTTTTTGGCTTTTTTCCTCTTACCTGCCATCTTGAACCATTCTTCACCAAAAAAGAGTGGTGAAAGAGGTGGTTCTTTTTTCTCAAAAAGTGGACTTTTTTGCAGTTATTAGTGTAACGGTGAAGTGATGCTGACAACAGGGGTGCGGATCCAAATGCAGGTCTATTAGCGTGGTAAGGTAAGCAGTAGTAATGTGACGTTATGCGTCGAAGCATGTATAAAAAAAACTATACATCTTGCAGTGAAGCAGTGTAAAGGAGCTTGAATTGTTTTGCCATCATCGCGTGATCAGTGATGTCCAAAGCTTCATTTTCGCTTATACTCACATGACTTGCTTCGAATTTTGATTCAAAGGTTTTCAACACCCTCGTGGATAAGTAAAGTCTATATCGAGAGATTGGGCGTCAATTACATATATTTCTGATGTTTCAAAACACTGCACCGGTCCCAAGCACCAGTAATTCAACTAAAAAGCAATAGTAATTTATAGTAAAAAGGTTTTGCACCACACTAAAGTGTATTAGTGTACTATTTACAACTATTTTTAAAGGCCACTGCATATTGTAGTGTAGTGTGTTAAGGAGGACAGCTTGTGCGTGCTCTACCAAAAGCCACACTCCTAGCCTCCTCGTTAGAGCATTCGCCTCACATGCAGAAATTGCCGGTTCAATCCCCGCTTTGAACGAGGTGGTGGGTGAAAGACCAGTTGGATACGATTATTGTAAAAACTTTTGAATTTCTTGGATTTCACTACAGTCATCAGTGGTGTAATGTAATATAACTTATGTGTAATAAACTACAGTAATTGAGTAATTGTGTTTATATTACTGTTCTTGTATTACTACATAAATGAGTTGGTTAGTTGTGAACATTTGACATTTTTGCAGCACAGTGCTCTCTCACACATGAGGTTCTCATCTAGATCTGACTTGGAAAGCTTCGAGTAACGAACCTTTTTCTGTTACAAATGAGTCGATCAGTTCTAATTAAACACACCTGATACTAATTAAGTCTTTCAGTTTTGTTTGAAACCTCCAGGTAAATGTGTTGAAGCGGGGTTGGAATTGAACTGTGCAGAGCTGCGGCCCTCCAGGAACTGGATTTGACACCTGTGCTTTAACAGATAACAAGACTCAGCATCTAGAATGAGTGTTTGTGCTGCCTAAATAGTATGTGTAATCACTCCTTGACAATTCACTGACAGCCACGTGTGTGGATCTTGTCGGAAAATATGGCGAAAAGTCCTATATGACGATGTTTACTGATTGTGGTGTTTACTTCAATAATGCCACTAATATATATATATATATATATATATATATATATATATATATATATATATATATATATATATATATATATATATATATACTCCACGTCTTAATTCCATTTCTGTTTAGTTCAGTTATGACTTTAGTCAGATTAAGGTGATCAAAAATTGCTGTTTGGAGCTTATGTAGATAGACAAAATTCATGCTTAACTGAACAAACAGTTAGTAAACACAAGTACATCTTATTGAACATATTTTATTTTCATCACCAATTATCAGAGTAGAACAGTTTCTCAAGCAGTTTGTGATGTATTTTGAAAACAGGAGATAAGCTTCTGGTCTAATGCGCCACCTGGCTTGAGAAATCCGTTCTCAAAGACATATTATTTGGGTAGCACACATATTTTGAATGCCTTTGGCAAAATTCAAATGAGCCATTTTAATCTAGATTATTCTATTTTTTTATCTAGATTAATCTCGGAATTAATCTAATCTATGCCCACCTATAGTTTTTATATTTACATTTAAAGTTATTCATTCCCAGTGTAATATATGATACTCCGTATCTACACAATTATTTTCTGCAGCACTATTGACTTTAATTGCAATAAATCAAATGTTCCTGCAGACCTTCGATTGTACTTGGAATTTAAAATTGCCGTGGCCTTGAAACTGTTTTATTTGACATTTATGACCTTGTTGCTAAATTAGACATCGAACCAACAATTGACTGTCAAGTTTTACAGGCTCTATAAATTTATTTTCCACACTTAGACATGCTTTTAAATCACACTGCCTGATGATACCGCACAAGCATAATTTTATTACCTAAAATGTAATCTGTTGCTCAAGTCATCAGAGTATCAGGACTGGATGCCCAAACAATGGACATGGTAATTAAGACTTTAAAGACAGTGTGTCTGATAAATGTGAATCACACTAGCTTTACCAGAAAGAAATGATTATAAGCGTGAGTTAGTGTTAAAGCTGTTCCTCATTTCACTTTCCAAAGCATGCTTCTGTTCCTCTGAGGTACATTCCTACAACACTGGGTTTTAGACAGGTTTTTCCCCTTCTCTTAAGCAGTACACTATAACAAAGCTTTATGTCACCAAAGAGCCATTACAGCACATGCCATCTGACAGCCTCGTGCTTAAAATATGCACTTCTTCATATCCATCAGGTTGCATAAATAGCCTAAAAAAAAAAAAAAAAAAAGCCAAAGAATATGCAGTAAAATGGTTGTTCAAGACTTCACACTTAGCTCACGATTTATACATAGCTTGTTTGGCGTGCTGTCCCGGGAGAGAGCCCTGAGCTCAAGGGATCCTTGAGCCGAGGGCTCCCCCCTTTCACAACGTGAGGAAAGATTGAGCTCAAGTCGATCTCAAACTCCCCAGCTGCTGATGCCAAGGTGACTTTCTTGAGAGTAAGGGTACTTTCAAACTGTGAATCGATTCAGTTGTTCCGAAACAGAGATTAAAATTGTTACATTGTTGCTCTTTGCT